AACAAAAGTGTATTTGCAAGTTATTAGACCTTTCCTGGAAACATCAATCTATTTCAGTTCCCTGAAATATACCCTACCAGACATCACCATGAGCCCAAATCCATGTAAGCATGTGGCAGTCTGGCTGCAAGGTGACATGTACATTTGTCCAAAGGGCCAGAAAACAGCTGGTGGGGACAACAGCATATTGATAAGAGCAGGACAACTGGGAGCTACGGCACTGCCACGGTAAATAAAATGCCACAGCTGGGGTGCAAGAATCGCAGCTCAAGCTGAGGAAGTTGAATCATTTCTGCTTCTTTTTATTCCTTTTCTACAGGTGTTCATAGAAAAAAAATACATACACACCACACACATCAGACTGAGACAACTCTGGGGCAGACAACTATGTTCCACTGGACTTGTAAGAGGGAAAAAGAGAGAAGGAGGTGGGTAGATGCATGTGCAGAAAGGTTAGAGTTAAAAATAGGGTGAGGGTGTGGAAGGGGAAGTATGTCTGTACACAGACAGAACTAGTAGTACATATGGTGAATGGTGAAGTGTGCTGCCAACTGGAAAATGACTGTTTTAAATTTAACACTAAACAAGGCTTCAGCAACTAACAGCTTGACAGTGTTCCACTATTACTGAATTATGAACTAAGAATCTCAGGGGACCCAGAACTAAAAAGCTGGGAATACCAAGCACTATGGGTTCATGTGAGTTGGCTTATTCTATAAAAACTGAAAATGGCTAATTTATGAGGGCTTTGAGGTAGCATATTAGAAGAATGACCATTGTATAAGAGGGCAGAGGAAATTCTGCTTTGATAATTCGACAATTGAAAATGAACATCCATTTCCCCTAATTCAATCTTAAGTTTCCTTTACTAAATGTTTCCTTTCTTTACCACCCCTTTTACACACCAAATGGAAGGGCTGTTTAGAGCTAAGCACTGGTCCAAAATATAAAAGGAGCTAAACAAAAAGATCTTTCTCGCTGGCATGATAAATCTTCAAGGTAGCTGTGAAATGCTCCCAGCAGTGAGCTGAGCATGGCTGAGGGATTGAATGGAGACAGGAGCCTGACTGTAAAGACAGAGCAGGGCCTGAGATCCACAAAGGCTGCCCCCGGAGGCTCAGCATCAAAGGGTTCTGAACTTGAAACCATTGGGGTCCGTTGCTATTTCTACATCAAAACCATTAGAGAATAAAGCAGACCCGGAAATACACTGGCTAAGGAAGTCTCAGAAACCACATGAAACAGACACAAAGACTAGTGAATTCCTCAAGAAAAGAGAATATTCCTCAAGAAAGCATATATATTTCAACTGTGTAGAAAGAGAGCTGACCTGGTGTCTCAACACCCCAACCAGGTAGTCTCCTCAACTGCCACTTCCGTTTGCGTCCTCAGCAGGATCTGGAGCGGCAGAGGAACTCACCAGTTAGGCTATGTGTTCAGATACGCACTTGGGGTGAGGCTCTCACTTTCCTTTCTTGCACCCCTCAATTCATGGGACAAAAATAAATGAGCATTAAAAATGGAAACCAATAAAATGAATAAATATTTAAAAATTGAAACAAAATGAAGGGGCACAAAGAAATTCATCAAGTAATTTGCTTCTCCTGCGATGGCTCTGCTCATATTCCAAGAGTGTTTTTATTTATTTATTTTTAATTCTCACCCGAGGAAACTTTTTCATCCCTTGTTCAGATAGAGCGGGAGGGAGAGAGAGGGAGAGAGAGAGAGAAACATCGACGTGAAAGGGACACATCGAGTGGCTGCCACCCACACGACCAACCAGGGCCGGGGACAGACTGCACCCGAGGTACGTGCCCTTAGCGGGAACTGAACCCGGGTCTCTCTGGACCGCAGGCTGAAGCTCTAACCGATGAGCCAAACCGGCCAGGGCCCAAGAGTGTTTTTAAAAGGCAATAACATGCCAGGTCGCTGTGGCTCAGTGGTTGAGCGTCAGTCCACACACCAAGAGGTCGCAGATTCGATTCCCAGTCAAGGCACGTGCCCAGGCTGTGGGCCAGATCCCCAGTGAGGGGCATGCAGGAGGCGGCCAATCGATGTTCTCTCTCACTGAGGTTTCTGTATCTCTCTCCTTCTCCCCTCTTCTCGAAAATCAATAAAAATAAATAAATTAATTAATTAAAGGCAATAACAGCCCCAGCCAGTGTGGCTCAGTGGATTGAGCCTCGTCCCATGGACTGAGAGGTCCAGGTTGGATTCCCAGCCAGGACCCATGCCTGGGTTGCAGGTTCGATCCCCAGTAGGGGGTGTGCAGGAGGCAGCCAATCGATGTGCTCTCTCACATCGATGCTTCTATCTCTCTCCCTTCCTCTCTTTCTAAAAATACAATAAAAACATATTTAAAAAAATAATAATAGCCCTGGCAGGTTTGGCTCAGCAGTTAGAGCATCGGCCTGCGGTCCTGAGAGACCCGGGTTCGGTTCCCGCTGAGGGCACGTGCCTCGGTTGCAGTCTGTCCCCGGCCCTGGTTGGGTTGTGCGGGTGGCAGCCACTCGATGTGTCCCTTTCACGTCGATGTTTCTCTCTCTCTCCCTCCCTCCCTCCCACTCTATCTGAACAAAATATAAAAAAAAATAATAATAATAAATAAATAAATAAATAAATAAATAAAAGGCAATAACAGGAAAAATCACTACCTAACCTATAGTAGTCATTTCCCCTATTTAACAGTGTTTTTTAAGCTGCAGGTCACAATGTATTAGGTCATAACATCAATTTAATGGTTGCTACCATCATTTTTTCAAAATAAAGTCAAACAGAATAGAAAAGAAAGTATCAATGTGTTTTGCAAGATGTAAAAGTACTGTTTCACAAAACTTTATTTCAAATGTGTATATATGTACTGGGTCCTGTTATAGAAGGTCATTTCTTACAGTGATTTAAAATCTAAAAATGGCCCTGGCCAGTTTGGCTCAGTGGTTAGAGCGTCAGCCTGCGGTCTAGAGAGACCCGGGTTCGGTTCCCGCTAAGGGCACGTACTTCGGTTGCAGTTTGTCCCCGGCCCTAGTTGGTCGTGCGGGTGGCAGCCACTCGATGTGTCCCTTCATGTCGATGTTTCTCACTCTCTCTCCCTTCCGTTCTCTCCCTCCCATTCTATCTGTACAAAAAATGGAAAAATATCCTCGGGTGAGGATAAAAAAAAAAATAAAATAAAATAAATAAAATCTAAAAATGGCCCTGGCCAGTTTGGCTCAGTGGTTAGAGCGTCAGCCTGCGGTCTAGAGAGACCCGGGTTCGATTCCCGCTAAGGGCGTGTACCTTGGTTGCAGTTTGTCCCTGGCCCTGGTTAGTTGTGCGGGTGGCAGCCACTTGATGTGTCCCTTTCATGTCTATGTTTCTCTCTCTCTCTCTTTCTCTCTCTCCCTCCCACTCTACCTGAACAAAAAATGGAAAAATGTCCTTGGGTGAGGATTAAATAAATAAATAAATAAATAAATAAAATTTAAAAATGTATGGAAACCACTGAGCGACTGGAAACTGGAAGGAACCAGATCAGGGCAGTATTCTACAGTCATACTGTATATGAATCAAATACTTAGGACTGTGAAGAAGCTCATGGGTCAACTGAGGAGCTTCAGGCAATGTATAAAAATTACTCTCACAGTTATCCAAGAACTCTCTCAGCGTCCTGAGCTAAGTAAGAAGTGTGAGCTCTAGGTCTGAAAATAGGAAAGCCACCAATGAAACTAACCTGAGAGAAAATGCTGCCTTATAGACAGCCTCCTCTAGCTTTTAGCAAGATAAAATAAATCTGGACTGTGGAACAAAAGGACAGTTTCTACTTCTAGAATGTCACAGATCATGGCCACAAACAAAGGACTCATTCACTGACTAGAAGATCAAGCCTTCTGGAACAAGGATAGGTGAAGAGGTTAGAAGGAAAAAAAAACCACTGTCCTAGTCCTGCCAAATTAGCCCTTCCTTCCTGGCACAACTAACCAAGGTGATGGTCTCTATTCCGAGTGTCTGCATTCTTCTATTCCTACCCACTCCTGAACCCTGGCATAGTCACGTCCTTTGCCAATCCCCATTCAGTCTCATCAAATAGCCCATCCCTGTGTACAGCAGGAAAGGAAGCCTAGCACAAGAGACGAGTCCTTCCTAAGTGGAGCCAGGAATACCAGGCAGGCATGATCTCTTCGGCTATGCCACAAGACCTCGTTGGGAGTTTATTTCAAAGGAGAAGCAAATGCTCTTTTTTAGGTGCTGGGATTTCCAGATCTCATAATATTGAGCCAGACCTGCCCTCGCATTCCCAAATTCCTTAGAAAGTAGGAAACATGATCTGTGCCACTAAGCAAGTAATGACTATGCCTAAGGAAATAAAAAATTCTTCACTTGTCTCAATTCTAATAAGACCATGCCCTGACTGGTGTGGCTCAGTTGGCTGAACATCATCCTGGGCACCAATAGGTTGCCAATTTGATTCCCAGTTAGGGCACATGCCCACGTTATGGGTTCGATTCCCTGTGGGGGGTGTGCAGGAGGCAGCCGATAGATGGTTCACCCTCACATCAATGTTTCTCTCTCCCCTTCTCTTTTCCGCTCTCTAAAAAAAAAAAAAAAAATCAATTAAAAATATATATATTTTTAAAAACATAAATTATCCATCATCTTGTTGTTCCTTTCAGAAAGGGATGGCTAAAGACAATCCTAGCAACACATCCCCACTAAAAAAGAAAAAAGGATTTCTAACCCTGATCATTATTCTGTAAAAGCGTGTTGAGATGCGAGTGTCACATTCCGTCTACTAGAAAGGGAGACAGGTCGCAAGAAGACAAGCCAATTGCTCAGGGCCTTGCAGCAAGGTAGCAGAGTCAGGGGTGGGCACTGGACAACCTTGTTTGTTTTCAACTTCCTAGACTACGTTCCTTTAACTCCATCAGCTGATGCTCAGAGCTGAGGGTATATATTGCCAAATTACTTTCTGAGAAAGCTCAAATACATACGTGTGTATAAATGTATAAGCATGAGATTGGTACCTGTAAGAGAGCATGATGCATCGTCACCTCCAGTTCGGCTAACACATGAGCAGCATCCTCGATGTCCTCTTGGACCTCCAGGTCCTCCTCAGGGATGGTCTCCCAGGTGCCCTGGTGAGCAACCAGAGTGTGGACTAGTTCATACCGGCCGGGGAGCGCCAGGCTGACCCGAGTCTGAGTCCCATAGGTGAAGCGGAGGCGCCGAAGCTTACAGCTCTCCTCACTGCCCAGCTTGGTGGTAGGGAGCACCTGCACCCCCAATAGCAGGTTCAACAGCTGGCACTTGACATTACAATCCTGGCCGAGGATCAAGATGCAGGGGGGGCAGTCCACAATCTGCTGGAGGTACTTCTCTTCCTTAGGTGGGAAGGAAATGCAGCTCAGCTGGCCTGGTTGGGGAAGGGGAGGGTGAAGAAGGAGAAAGGAGGACAGAGAGAAGAGTGAGGGGGGTAGAGAGAGACTCACACAGCGACCCCATTAGGATGCCAGGGTCCTAGAGAAGAGATTTCTAGGAAGCTCTTGGTTGAAGGAGATATCAAGAAAACAGATATCCCAGTCAAAACAGATTCTTCAAGTATCAGACAGAAGTCCCCTCTATGGCTCATCCCCAAAGCAGTTGTTTCTATCCAGAAAGGTGGCAGTGACCTGATCTACCTTCCCCCCTCCTTTTTCATCCAGGGGAGGGACAGCTTAGGAGTTTACAAGGACTCAATCCCAATCCCAAGATCATTAAATTGACAAAACCACTAACCCACTAACTGGGATGTGAGTCCAAAGAGAAACCACACCTGGATATGTCAAAATGAAAACCTTCCCTTGTGACAGAAGACCTAACACTTGATCATATTCAGCCTTTTTAAACGTCGCTACCATATGAAATTTTAGCTTATTTTCCTCTGTATGACATATTTTGTAACTAAATGTATGAGTTAATCTCTAAATACACATACAATGAAATAAAAAGTTACTCAGGTTTACTTAAGCTCTCAGATCTGTTCTAGCTCCTCTCTCTGAGAGCTGACGACAGCACCCCAGCGGCCAAGTCATCTGTTTTCTTAAAGCATCAGGTGCTCAATTAAGATCAGTGTCTCCTGATCAAGTCACATTCCTTCAGTTTATGGAAAGGGAAAGAAATCCAGGCAAATCTAGGCAGAGATGTGCTCTATCTCAAAAACATTCTTTCAGGACAACCCCGTTTCCACAAACAAGTCCACCAGTATTCACGAGAGAACAAAAGGCTTCCTACAGCATGAAAACCTGTATTTGAGAAAAGGAACCAGAAACTAGTTGACTGAAACTCAGATTCTGAACTCAATCATTCTCCCACTTGTTCAGTGCCCGTCTACCCACGTCTATGATTCAGGCAACCCCTGCGTTTGTTCAGAAAGGCACAGACACATGGTTCTTAAGCTGTAAGAAGGCTGACCCTACATATATTTTAATTGAAATTTGGGGTGGCACCAACTGAAACCATATTCTCTTTAGTCACTTAATCATGAGCTGTATCAAACTATCCATAAGCTGTTTATTTTGTTCCTATAAATGAGGCAAGAGAACCCAGACTCATTTAAGAGATTGCTCTACTTTGGACTGAAACTATCCTGCCACAAACTTACTATTTCAAATCCTCAAACTTCCTTCTCTTCCACAGATGGCACCATCAAAAGGTTTACAGTAGTCTGCTTTCACCCAGACCCCTCTGGCCTTTCCTGGAGCCCTTCAGGTCTGTCTGTAAGTACATCACCTGGCCTGCCCATACATACCAGCAACACCAGACACTGAAACAAGGAATCTACTCTCCTGGGGAAGAGATGGGTTCTTCTGCAAAAGCAAAGAGTGAACTGCAGGCTTAATTCTGTGAAAGGCATTTACTAAGCACAAGAGTAAAACATCAGACTGCTGGTCTAACTTTGACCTACAATCAAAAGCAATGAGACACAGCCAATTTCTTGTATGACCATTTAGCAAGTAGCAAGGGGCTTGTCCTGAGCCCCTGCATCTCTTGTTCATAACTAAACACTTATCGCAGTGTACTCTAGTTATTTGTTTATAATTATGGAAACACCCAACACGACGACTAAAACACAGTAAGTACTTTATGTTACATACTTGTTTGCTCTGTGCAAGAATCCATTTACTGTGGAGAACTGTCTAAAGAAAGTTATCAGTGATTCCACTAAGGACTCAGAAAAGTCCAGTACCATGATGAACTGCTTAAGAGCAACTATCATTCCTAAAAACCTCCTCCAACTCAACATGGAGAGTAATGTGGACAACAGAGCAGGACCTCCCCATCACCTTGCAGAACTGAACCACCGAACTCAGCCCGAGCAGTGAGAAGTCCACCTGATTACCTCTCACCTGCGCTTCCCACCTTTCCTCTTCCCGTCCTCCTCAGGTCCTCAGAGAGGCTAAGTTCATTCTGACAACTTCACAACTCCTAAAACAAAAGCTGGCACATAATAAAAACAGCCCAAATGAGCTTTGTGACTGCTGCAGCTAGGAGAGTGGATAATAGATAATGAAACCCAACTAACCATTTTCAGGACCAGAGGAGGAGATCTCAACGTCTCTGAGACAGTATCAACTCTAGGAAAGCAGTAAAACATGCTCTGCGTGAGTCAAAAACCACAGCAGACACACCCCATTATTCATCTGACCCAAATTACCACACACATACACATCTCTGTAGTGACAAAAACAGTCACTACAAATAAACCTGCTAGTGTTAAAAAACTGTAGAGCAGTGCAATGGAGGGGGCTGACACTGAACCCAGTTTTAATTTTTGTTTCCATGCACTGCTGGGGTTCTACGTGCAACCAGTTGCCCTGAAGAAAACTCAATATGAATATTGCCACCGGTTTTTCAATGCGCATATCCAAAGCCTTTGGTTTCCCCCACAGATCTCTAGCTTTTTTTTTTTTTTTTTGGTACATGCCCCTAGCAGAACTGAACCTGAGACTCTCTGGTCCGCAGGCTGATGCTCCAACCGCTGAGCCAAACCGGCCAGGGCGATCTTTAGCTTTTTCACTGATCTGCAACATGTCTACAAGATTTGAACAAGGGCATGGAGAGAAATGAAGTTCATGAAACTAGAACTCCTTGCTTTTCTCAGCAAATGGTTTACGGTTCACTGAGGAGTGCAGCGTCCAAGTGGACACAGCACTAGAGAGGAGGGAGATGTCCTGATCCCAGGCTTCACCTCTGATTGGCTCACTTGATTTTTCTCAGCCTTGGATTTCTCACCTCTGAACTAAGTGAGCTGGACTAGATCATCTTTAACATTCTTTCCAGTTCTAAAATTCCAGGATTCCATCAGGTTTTAACTGCTGAAGGAAAAATAATTGAGGGGCTGGGTGGTTGGTCTGGTTGTTTTTATTTTAAGTTACATGTGAATTTAATTATGCAAGCTCTCCCTAGGCTACTACTATAGCTGCAGATCAAAAAAGTGACTGAACTAGTCAGGGGCTCTGAGGACCTCCAGGGCAGCTTTAGCAGTTCTCTAAAGAAGGGATGAAAGCTGCAGACTAACAGAAGGAGGAAGGAAGAGAACCTGCTTCAGAGATGGAGCAGCTGCTCCACTGACAGTTAAAGGACTTCTGAGTTAATAGGGTTTTCTTTTGTAACTAATATAACAGCATCTGCATATGGGCTGCCAGAAGGTAACAGTAGGGCTTCTCAGCTAGAGCACATTAACCCTGCCAACTCTGACTGCAGGAAAAGTCAACTCAGGTTGAAGTGCAAACTAAGACTCTTTTTCTCTCTCGATGGTTCCTAAATACAGATGATCTTTTTTTTTTAATCCTCACCCAAGGATATATTTTTCTATTTACCTTCAGATACAGTGGGAGGGAGAGAAAAGGAGAGAGAGAGAAACATCAACATGAGAGGGACACATCGACTGGTTGCCTCCCGCACAACCCCGACCAGGACTGGGGACAAACCACAACCTATCCACGTGCCCTTGATCGGAATTGAACCCACGACTCTTTAGTCCGCAGGCCGACACTCCACCACTTAGCCAAACTGGCCAGGGCCAGATAATCTTGATTGTGATTAGAGCTGACCCTTGGGGCTCCAACCTGCACAGTAGAAAAATCCCCATATAATTTAAGTCAGCCCTCTGCATGTGCGGATTCCCACCTGCCAGGTGACCCTTGAACAATGTGCGTTTGAACTGTGCAGGTCAAACGACCCACTCAGTTCAACTGAAAAAAATCTCATATAAGTAGACCCAAGCAGTTCAAGCCTACGTTGTCCAAGGGTCAACTGTACTTCTGAAGAAAGGTTTCAAACCAGAAGGAGAAGAGCAACTCAAGTGGCAACCTATTTTGTTTATTTTTTTTAGATAATGAAGGGGAGAAAAATATACCACCCCCAAATATACCTCTGGCATACTGATCATTTTAAGCTGTTTCTTTTTAAGAAACAGCAGACAAAGGTGAAGCTCTGAAAATTGAGATGTTACCCTTCTGTAAGAAACATTTATAAGGGAAATCTCCAGTTGGAAGGGTGCCTTCCTCTCAGTACCAGGAAAAGGATGACTCTAAATCTCTAGAAACTCTTATCAATGAAGAAAGGAAAGACTTCAATCTGCATCAACAGCCTTACCCTTGTTTACTGTGCGTTTCCTGGTAACCTCCCATAACTACCCCCCAACATTTGTCTTTAGCTGGAGATGATATTAAAGGTGGTACTTGGGCCCTGGCCAGTGTGCCTTAGTGATCAGAGTGTCAGCAGCCTAAGCACTGACGGGTCTTTAGCTTCCTGGCAGGATTGGCATAAGTGAGGCGACCAATCGATGTGATGCGTCTTTCCAACACTGATGTTTCTCTCTCTCTCTGTCTCTCTTTTCCCTTCCCTCCCTTCCATTCTCTTTATAAATCAATGGAAAAAATATCCTCAGGTAAGGATTAACAAAAATATCTAATAAAAAAATTGGCAACTTGAGCTATTTCAGAGTTAGTTTTCTGAGTATCTCCCATGTATACAGGGGGTATGCATATTATTACATTTCTGTCTGTTTTTATCCTGTTAATATCTTTTTATTATGGGGGAGGGTGGTCTCTGCCAAGAACCTAGAAGTGTAGGAAAAAAGTTATTTCTCCTCCCTACAATAACATTTAACGTGCCCTTTCTAAGTATATCACTTGATTTGCCTCATGTCATTTCATGTTCATAATTCTACCAGAAAATGACTATTATTATCCCCATTTATAGATAACACTAAAAATTTATAGGAAACAGTTTTTTATAAAAAGAGCCCATGTTTCTCTATGCGTCTAGGCAAACAGAAGGTGGAACTCTGGGCAGTGCAGGAGCTATACCACAGTGGGGTGGGGGGGCAGTGTCGGGGAGGAAACTTCCCCTTCTACCCTTCTAGATTCTTTGGCTGGTCTAACAGTCAATTAACATAAGAAAGATTAACAAGAGTAACTGCATATGAGTTCAGGGGTCCCAGAAGAATATGAGACTCACAGGCAGTCTGGCAATTGAGATTCATTTGTCAAATTTATTTGCGTTATCTCAGTATGGCTAGGGGTCTGGGGCTTCAGAGGGGAGGAAGACACTTTACAGGATGATGGGAAGAGTAAACGTTTGGTAAACAAATATTTGCCAAGTCATGCAGAGCAATGAAACTCAGAGAGGACGTCAACCTCCAGGCCCTGCCACGCTTCCCCCAGACCACGACACCTACCCATACTCCTTGTGGGAAACAGCAGCGACAGTTCTCTTCCCGGACCAGGCCCTCTATTTAAATGCTTTTAGGCAGTTAAGGGGTAGGTTAAAAAAAATAAAAAAAAATTCTAAATCGTTGGGCCTTCATTGTCTTCAGCTCAAACTAGTACACATGCCAAAGTGCCACATTCTGGGGAGACTTGTTCTGAACCACTTCGCCACATTATTACTTAGCAGTAGACAATGCCCCTGAAGAGTGGCAGAATATGCCATCCCAAAATATGCCACTTTGGCATAAGGATTATTTTGAACTAAAGGTACTTGACACACAGCAGGTCTAAGAAGGGTGCTGACCTCCCCTTTTTCTCCTCCCCTAAAGCAGGAAATAAAACCCCCGTCTGGATGATGTCCTCCCTACACCAAAAGGAAAGCAACATCTTATCACCAGAGAGCAGGAATCGAGGCCAAGAAAAAAAATCTGTACAAATAAGCCTTGCTAAACTAGCCTTTATCTTCCTACTTACTTTTCCACGATTAACTGCCCTAGCCCAAGCCCCTCTATCTTATCATGTTTTCAAAATTTACTTCTCTTTGTCCAGTTCAGTATATAAATGTTCAACTCGGTTTCTTTCAGTCCCCATTCTCTTGTAGTGACTCCCATATACAAGAAAAATTTAATGAAATGCATAGGCTTTTCTCCTGTTAATGTCTTATGTCAGTTTAGATCTTAGGCCCAGCTTCAAGACCCTAACAGAATAGAGACATTTTCCCTCCCTTACATTCCCTACCACATTTTTTCCCAATCTGGGCTGAAACACAACTTCGTAATTGTAGGAGCCCAATTTAAAGCAGACTGACGGAGCCACTATGAAAATTGCCCAAAACCAGAAGTAAAGTTTGGGGGGAAAAACAGTTATTACTATTAGCTGGTGTACATTTTTTAAAATGTTATTGTTATTCTAAGATCTCTAGAGTCTTTTTTCTATAAGATACTATAGGAGTTTTTCAGAAAAAATGTTAATGTTCCCCTTATCAGTGTGTATTATTACCTTTGGGTCTGAGGTTAAGACTATTCTAAAGAAGGGAGAATCGGAGAGAAGGAAGGAATGCTGATGACCTTTCTGTGTCTCTACTACCCATCAAAACAGACACCTTGGATAACGGCAGTGGAGTTTACCACACTCTCCTTCTTGCCAGTTTTCCATCCAGTCCATGGCCAAGGCAGGAAGGCACTGAATGTTGTAAATGAAATGGGACTCTGTCTTTGCCTTGTCATACAGTTGAACTCACGTGGCTTCAGAGTTCATTCAGATCTCAACAGAGTTACTACTGCAATCTTTGTTCC